CACTTTACTACATCCATACGAAGTCGACAAACACAGTAATAATAACATTCGAAACTAACTAACATTACTACACACCTACTAGTAGACGACAAACACGAGTAATAATAATAACTGTTACGATCTAAACACATTTTACCAGATCCAATTACGAAGTCGACAAAACACGAGTAATAATAATAACTGTTACGATCTAAACACCTTTTACCAGATCCAATTACGAAGTCGGGACGATGAGCGTGTGTTTTATGAGTTAAGGAAATAGAAATCGTAACATTTTCAGATACCTTGAAAAAAAAAAATGGCTGAAGGTGTTGCTTGTATATGATTAGTTTAACAGTAACTTCATGCGCAAGCAACAAGTAGTTCCGATTCTGTCAGATTTAAGATAGAAAAAATATATATACAAAGGTGCTTATCTGTATAATTGCCTATCTATCTACCTGTTTAAAAATGTTCTTTTTTATAAATTAGCATATTCCCTTAAACGAAACAAAAGTAAACTAGAGGGCACTCAGTAGAGCGCATCGGTATGCGCAGCGTTGATCATATTCGGCTTTCAAAAATTACGAAAACGTGTCCGTATGTTCGTCGTTATCAACTCACATGGACCATTTTTGGCAGGACAATGAGGAATAATATTCTACATATGTCCACCAAGTTTCGTCAAAATCTGATCATTTTCGACTGAGTTATGGAGCAAATAGTGTTGGAAAAATTGGCCTCCATGTTAACCGATATATATATATATATATATATTTAATTTTCGTGATCTTGACCTTTGAAGTTTACCCTCCAAAAACTAATCTCCTCTAATTCGATGACGAGGAACCCACTTTGAGACTAATAATGGCTGGAGACGGCTTGAATGGGTAATGAAGAAAAACTTTAATATAAGTTTAACATAACAGCAGATGTACAACGTTTCGACAAAATTTTGTCATCATCAGGTAATCATCATAATCTCCTCTAAGTTGGATAATAGTCCAAATGTATACCACCTTTCGTCCAAATCTATTTAACCATTTTTGAGAAATCTTGCTGACCAACACACACACACAGGGGGTGAGAACATAACCTCCGTCAACCTTCGGGGGTGGAGGTAAGAAAGACAATCGATGTAACTAGAAGAATGTAAAATACCCCATCTGGAGTAAGCAAAAGAAACTAATCCAACCACAACGTCTTTAAAACTTATATTTGCTGTAAACAACTAGATTCTATACTAATTATTGACGTTTGTGCCCCCCCCCTCCCCATCACCTGTAAGCTCGAGGGGCCTATAACGCTAAAATTCTGGGATCGATCCATGCAATGGGCATCATGCAGATAGCCTACTGTGTAGTTTTACGCTTAACAAACAAAGACATTAGTGATTGATGCATACCTTAAAGGCGTAGTTTTTTTTTAAACGTGAATTCGTACGTTTCAACACGTTTGTTAGACGAGGTTTCAAGTGTTTGCTTTTATTGCATAAATTTGTCGAGATTAGGTACCTGTAACACTTAAGTTTACGCATTTGTTTTTCTGTTTCTGTGTTCATGTTTTTATAAAGAAATTATAAGTCATGGGGGAGGTGGGGTAGAGGTCTCCAACCCACGGGGCAGAGCACGTGCTGCCACCCAAGAGCTTGTCGTTTCTGTTCGTGTATTATATTGTTGGCCTTTCAGGGTTTCTTTGGTTAATACACAATAAAATACAACCCTATATACTCTTCAAACGAATGAAAGGGTTAGCGAGGTCACTAAGGAATGGCGCGAAAACAGCTAGGCTTTTTGTGGTAGTGGTTGATTTAGGGCAATCATTAGTAGCAGTTCTTCTCACCCTGATCTCTCGCACTCATCAAGAAGCCAAATTTTTGGCAGACACTTCCTTTGCTCAGAATGGACGAGTAACCCTCAGGCTGGAGACCAAACAGTGCCGCATAGCGCGTGAAACTACAGGCTTGGCTCCTTGCAGAGCGCTAATTATCGAAAATGTTTCTGTGGTGTAACAGAAAAGAAAAATTCAGCATTATTACTTGTCTTGTCAGAATAAACAAAAATCTCAGCAACAGATTCAACATGAATTCTACCCAACATTTACAAAAGTATATTATATATTGAAAAAACTTACGAGGCAATTAGGCCTAAGACCAGTTTATTAAGCATTAGACCCTATTCTGTTGATAATTTTCACAAACTTGTTAAAACAATCAATTAATTAATTTTAAACAGCACTAAAAGCGCCTATAGCCGTTTGATCTTGCACTTGCAAAAGACATTCGAGCGTATTTGGTATTTCAGTTATGACATACAGAGTTTTCTAGCACTAAAAAGATATAACAGTTTAAGACTATATAGTACATTTTTGAGTTGGTCAACATCTATAAGTAGCATAACTAGTTGATAAAATAATAAAACAAAAACTGATAAAAATTTAAATCGTTGTTCCAAAATGCGCAGTACACGGTTTTAATTTATATTGGAAATTAGTGTCTTATATATAGATATTATGTCTACTGGAGTGTCACATTATCAGTTGCTACTGAGCAAGCGACTGCTCATTGGTTAGACAAAGGTCTGAAAGAACGTCACGTGACTAACTTTTCACAACTTCACATGACATGATATGTTGTTTTTCTACAGTCTCGTGTGATAATTATGCGTCTTACAATAAGTTCTTACAATATCAATGTTAACAAATCCACGTCGTACAATACGTTCTTACAATATCTGTGTTAACAATAAGTCTTACAATAAGTTTCAGTACCTCCGTCACTAGTCCGTGTGTATCACTGAGTTTTCAGTACCTCCCTTACCAGTTTGTGTGTCACTGAGTGTTTCAATACTTCCCTCACTAGTCTGTGTGCCACAGAGTGTTTCCCAAATTTAGGAAAAACTCAACTTAATCCATGACAAACAGCTTATTTACGAAAGACTCCAATGCTGCGAGGCAAACAGATTTTAGGGAAATTCAAATATTTCTTGGCACACAGACAATTTAGTAAAACTTCCTATTACTCTATGCCACTCAGAGTATTTTGTAAAATCTTAAATGTTCAAACACATACAAACAGTTTAGAAAAATATTAAACACTCTGCGACATACATACTAGTGAAGGAGGTATTGAAACACTCCGTGACACATAGACTTGTGAGGGAGGTTGACAAACAGACTATTTAAGAAAGAATTAAAATTCTCGATGACACACATATTGGAGTGTTGCAGTATCTCCTTAATTAGCTTGTGTGTCACCATGTCCTTAAATGTCTCCGTAACTAGTCTGTATGTTAAGAAAGGCTTAAGTGTCTCCTTAATTAGCATGCGTGTCACCATGTCCTTAAGTGTCCCCGTAATTAGTCTGTTTGTCAAGGAGTGTTTAAGTGTCACTGTAACTAGTCTGTGTGTCAAGGAATACTTAAGTGTCCCCGTAATTAGTCTGTTTGTCAAGGAGTGTTTAAGTGTCACTGTAACTAGTCTGTGTGTCAAGGAATACTTAAGTGTCCCCGTAATTAGCATGCGTGTCACCATGTCCTTAAGTGTCCCCGTAATTAGTCTGTTTGTCAAGGAGTGTTTAAGTGTCTCTGTAACTAGTCTGTGTGTCAAGGAATACTTAAGTGTCCCCGTAATTAGTCTGTTTGTCAAGGAGTGTTTAAGTGTCACTGTAACTAGTCTGTGTGTCAAGGAATACTTAAGTGTCCCCGTAATTAGCATGCGTGTCACCATGTCCTTAAGTGTCTCCTTAATTAGCATGCGTGTCACCATGTCCTTAAGTGTCCCCGTCCTTGTGACATTTGCCAGTTAGAACTTATTTCTTCTAAATATCTATACCGGAAAATACAAATTCAAAGTTACATTGATGAAATTAAAAAAAAGTCAAGAGCAGGAAATTTCTTTGATATATATATATATATTTTTTTTTTCAAAATGGTTTTCTTGGTTAAAAAAATCTCAGGCACCAATAGAACGTAAACTGTCAATATACAAGTCAATCAGTAACATAAAAAGTAAAATCTATAAAACAACAAATGTATGTTATCATATCCACGGGGGGTGAAACCTAAGAACTCAACTGACTCATCTATTGATAGCTCTAATAGTGTAACTAAAGTCGGTTTAGTTAACAGTTTTTCTTTTTGCAAATGCGGAATTAAGAAACTTCTTGCTGGAGCTACAAAGACAACATATTGAATCATTACCTTTCAGAATGCTTTATTTTTACTATACCCTAAAACACACAGACTGACTGGGAACAGTTAAGCACTCCTTGACACACAGACTAGTTACGGGGACACTTAAGTATTCCTTGACACACAGACTAGTTACAGAGACACTTAAACATTCCTTGACAAACAGACTAGTTACAAGGATGTTACTCAAGACTTGTTAGTTATTGTACTCAAACGAAAACTTACCTCTCTAGAAGGATGTTACTCAAGACTTGTTAGTTATTGTACTCAAACAAAAACTTACCTTTCTAGATCAGAGAGTCTAGATGAATCTCGAAAACCTTTAGCAAACGGATTACTGTCAATCTTTAGCTTTGTAATCTGTGGATTCAGATAAAAAATCACAAAAAAACCTGATAATAATTACATTATTAGGAAGGAGAAAAAAATTAAAAACTTTACTACTTCATAATACAGGGTACAAACAAAAAGTTCCTAAATACAACTTATTCCTGTTTTAATGCAAACTTACATAACTGTTTTTCTGATATTCGTCCGCCGCGGGTATTAAACCCCAAATTTTAGGACTAACCTTGAAGATGTAAATCTTACCGTTGAGCTACTGAAGAGCACAAATATAGGACACCACTGAGTTAATAACGTATAAAAGTAGCAATATTAAGAAGGAAATTATTTTGGTTTGTTGTGAATTTTGCTTAAAGCTACACGAGAGATATCTGCGCTAGCCGTCCCTAATTTAGCAGTGAAAGACTAGAGGGAAGGCAGCTAGTCATCACCACTCACCGCCAATTCTTGGGCTTCTCTTTTACCAACAAATAGTGGAATTGACCGTCACAATATAATGCCCCCACGGCTGAAAGGACGAGCATGTTTGGTGGTATGGGGATTCGTACCCGCGACCCGCAGACTACGAGTCGAGCTCCCTAATCATCTTGCCATGTCAGGCCCCAAGTATATGTAAAATGACCCCAACAATGCCAAGAATTAATAAGCGTATAATAAAAATACACCAAAACTGTAATAATGTAGAAAGTATTACAGGAAGGAAACAAGAAAAATGATAATCTAAGAAGGTAAGAAATCCGTGGTTTAAATTTGTACAAAATGGAGATTTTTAAGGCGCTAAAAAAAGAGAAAAGTCTAAAGTTTAGAAAACATTATTATAGAAACATAAAATGACATCGGTTTAAGGATGCAGCAAATAAGAAGAATATGACAAAAGAAGAAAAATAATAGTCAAAAGGTACAGAAAACTATAAATAAGAAAAATTTGTAATAGGTAGTATTTTGGAAAGCATGCAAGGAGAAGTGGTGTGCTTTGAACATAGCAGCTTTACGACGGAGTCTCTAAGAATGAGAACTAAACTGCATGGCTATTGTCATGATGTGTGGAAATTAACGGTTTATAAAAGCATTCGTAGAATACATAAAATAAATAATTTATGTGTGATTACAAGTAAAAAGTTTAGAACACAGAAACAAAGTCTAAAACTGAATAAATCAACTGTCTTAAAAACGAATAAAACTACAATATTTTGATGATACGGAGAACATGCCAGGGAAGATAAAACAAGGATTCAAAGGTGTAAAAAATTATGATCTAACCGTACATAAAGAAGCTGAAATATTTAAGAAATTAACTATCAGAAAATGTAAGAAACAAATTCTCGAAAGACAATAAATTATCATAACATTTTTATAATAAAATTATTCAAAGCTTATTTCAAACGAACAACCATGTTTTAAGCTACAAGTTTTACAATAAAATTATTTTAAACCGCTTCGTAAAATACTTTTCCACAAATAGTTCTAAATATTTCTCGAAAGTAGGAAAATAGGAAACTGCTCTTACTAATAATTACAATAGCTATAAGCGCGACTTCAGGATAAACAATAGTATATTGTAAAAGTATTGTTCAACAATCAAACATACCAGTTGATTCTGGTAAGCCGTCACTGCTGTAAAGACGGTTTCTGGAAATATATATGTCCTGGATTGTTCAGCTTCCAAGTCCGTTATGTGGATAGGATTCGGATGATCTGACCCGAGTTTAACCAGGTGAATTCTGGGCTGATACTTATGCATAGAATTAAGAATAATCTAGGGAAAAGATGTTACAACGTAAGAAAGTAACGCTCTAAGTACAACGTTAGAAATCGGATACACAAATAGCGAACCAAAACCTTTACTCTACAAACATCGCTCTTAAAGGTAACTTTTGTACGTCATGAATTATTAAAAAGAACAACGAAATTTTCAGAATCAAATAACATCTCTCATTTACAGTTGCTTAAACGCGGAATTTATATAGACAGCTTTGTTTATGTCATGTATTTACTGTTACCACTACAGCCTCAGTTATTTACAGTCATTACTACAGCCTCAAATATTTACTGTTACCACTACAGCCTCAGTTATTTACTGTCATCACTACAGCCTCAGTTATTTACAGTCATTACTACAGCCTCAAATATTTACTGTTACCACTACAGCCTCAGTTATTTACTGTCATCACTACAGCCTCAGTTATTTACTGTCATCACTACAGCTTCAATAATTTCTGTCACTACTACAGTCTCAAATATTTACTGTTACCACTACAGCCTCAGTTATTTACTGTCACCACTACAGCCTCAGTTATTTACTGTCATCACTACAGCTTCAATAATTTCTGTCACTACTACAGTCTCAAATATTTACTGTCACCACTACAGTCTCAAATATTTACTGTCACTACTACAGCCTCATTTATTTACTGTCACCACTACAGCCTCAGTTATTTACTGTCACCACTACAGCTTCAATAATTTCTGTCACTACTACAGTCTCAATAATTTCTGTCACTAATACAGCCTCAGTTATTTACTATCACCACTACAGCTTCAATTATTTACTGTCACCACTACAGCCTCAGTTATTTACTGTCAGAACACATTATGTGTTCATTTGCTACAAATTTTGTGTGATCAGTTGCTACGACACACTGTGTTACCAGTTCCTACGACACATTGGCTGATCAGTTCCTACCACACATTGTGTGATCAGTTGCTACGACACATTGTATGATCAATTCCTACGACACATTGTGTGATCAATTTCAACCACATATTGTAGATTAGTTGCTACGACACATTGTGTACTCAGTTTGTACGACACATTGTGTACTCAGTTGCTACGATACATTGGATGATCAGTTGCTACGACACATTGTGTGATCAGTTCCTACGATACATTGGATGACCAGTTCCTACGACACATTGTGTGATCAGTTCCTACGATACATTGGACGACCAGTTCCTACGACACATTGTGTGATCAGTTCCTACGATACATTGGACGACCAGTTCCTACGACACATTGTGTGATCAGTTCCTACGATACATTGGATGACCAGTTCCTACGACACATTGTGTGAGCAGTTCCTACGATACATTGGACGACCAGTTCTTACGATACATTGTGTGATCAGTTCCTACGACACATTATATGATCAATTCCTACGACACATTGTGTGATCAGTTCCTACGATACATTTTATGATCAGTTCCTACAACACATTGTGTGGTTAGTTCTTATGACACACCGGATGATCAGTTGAGATGACACCTTGTGTTATAAAGTATCCTCATTGTACAATGTAGTCAGTATACGCTTCTGTAGAATTCATTGGCTGACATCATCAGCTGATCTCCGACTCCCCAATCCCCATTTTAAAACTTCTATACATTACCAGAACTTTAATCTGATGGAAAAAAAAACAATTCCTTCGTGCACTCGAATAATAAAAAACACAGGGGTTAAGACGTATATTTTATCTCATTTTTACAGTTTCTAAAATGACGGACTCGAGACGCTTACACAGAGAAAGTTTAAGATTATACCACGTGGAGACGTTAAAACCAAGACATTGAAAAAGACACAAAAGAACGGACTTTAATCATTTTCTTACCTGGTGTGTTCCCTATGGATGAGACATGTCATCTAGCTACCAATAAACCAGTGATTTTCGAGAAGCCTAAGTTAAAGATTTAGTAATATAACTGAGCTCCGCTTTACGTGAAGAACTGGGACACCGCAAGTGTGATATGTTGTCGCCACATATGGCAAAGTCAATGACGGATACAATGTAAGTGCGCTGTGTGGCGATATTTACAATATTTAAAATATAATGGTTACTATGCTTGGGAGGGTCTGAAGACCGGACTACAAGAGCATGAGGACGTATTTACATACCGAAGTATCATCAGTATACGTCAAACCGCTCACGAGTTATATATGATACGATATATCCACAAAATATAACCAATGCCCACAAGCGCAATATTACAGCTGGGTGACCGATAATCGTCAAGGTCGGCTATGAACACGTAGGTCGCCACAGTGGATCATAGGTACAGTGAAACACGTTGGTCGCCACAGTGGATCATAGGTACAGTGCAGTGGAACACGTAGGTCGCCACAGTGGATCATAGGTACAGTGAAACACGTTGGTCGCCACAGTGGATCATAGGTACAGTGCAGTGGAACACGTAGGTCGCCACAATGGATCATAGGTACAGTGGATCACGTAGGTCGCCACAGTGGATCATAGGTACAGTGAAACATATTGGTCGCCACAGTGGATCACAGGTACAGTACAGTGGAACACGTAGGTCGCCACAGTGGATCATAGGTACAGTGAAACATGTTGGTCGCCACAGTGGATCATAGGTAAAGTGAAACACGTTGGTCGCCACAGTGGATCACAGGTACAGTACAGTGGAACACGTAGGTCGCCACAGTAGGTCATAGGTAGAGTGAACGTTCATGTTTGGAGAAACTTCGTTCAGGTCAATAGGGATGTTATTGTTAGGATGATTTGGTTCACATAAATGTACGTTCTTGTCTAAAATTAAACATTTGGTCAGTCTAATAACAAAAAGTATTTGTTTTGCAAGTTACTTACATGGCATTGTTTATCCATATCATTATTGGTCAACTTGACCTTTTCGAAGGACACAACCTGTTTCTTCAGTTGATCTCCAGTAAAGGGGGAGTCTGGGTGGAGGTAGATTCGTGCCGGAGAAGGTGGATCAGCTTTACCGGCAACCAACCAGGAGGAGCGGTGGTAAGCGTAGCGGTACCGCTTGTTGTCTACCGGAACAATATCCAGCAACACGGCGTATTTGGTCTGAGCATCGACACCGCTGAAAGATATCCTCAACGTAGGAAACATTCTCCTGTAATTAAAGTTTATCGATTTAATTCTTCTTTCGGTAATTATTGAATTAATATCTATAAACCATGTTACAGCGCTGTTACCGGTGTTGTTGTTTCTTTTTAAAGTCGGCATGAGCAAATAAATAAATAAAACGTAGTTCTTGACGAAGAAAACCTCAGAAAATTGCTGACGAGGAAAACAAAAGTTATAAGTAACGTAGAAAAATGTTTAACAAAATATCTTTATGTTTAAGGAAAACAGACGACTGAGTAAGAATTTAAAGTTTTATAAAAAACATCCAATCCTTTAAAAAAACGAATACTGGGATGATTAAAAAGACTCCGGTGGCACAGCGGTATGTCTGCGGGCTTACAACGCTGGAATCCGGGTTTCGATACCTGTGGTGGGCAGAGCACAGATAGCCTATTGTGTAATTTTGTGCTTAATTACAAGCAAACAAGGATTAAAAAATGGATTTCAAAACGAAATTACGTGTGCATTTATTTTAAAAGTTCTAAAAACGTTTTTTTTTAATTTCGCGCAAAGCTACACGAGGGTTATCTGCACTAGCCGTCTCTAATGTAGCAGTGGAAGACTAGGGGAAAGGCAGCTAGTCATCACCACCCACCGCCAACACTTGGGTTACTCTATTATCAATGAATAGTGGGATTGACCGTTACATTATAATGCCCCCACGGCTGAAAGGGCGAGCATATTTGGTGTGAAGGGGATTCGAATCTGCGCCTCTCAGATTGAAAGTCAAGCGCCCTAACCACCTGGCCGTGCCGGGCCTCTAAAAACGAATTAGTGTGAAATGAACTCAAAAGAAGTGAATGGAACGGTTGTATTTGTATAGAAATAATCGAGTGATTGTTTTTTTCATAGTTTTGGTTTGTTTAAGTATAAAGCTACAAAATGGGATATCTGTTCTCTGCCCACTACGGGTTACGAAACTCGGTTTATAGCGTTGTAAGCCCGCTGTGCCACGAGGGAGCTTACGGTTTTGTAACGAAAAGTAGTCGTTTTTTAACTTATGTTAATGAATTTATTTCACGAATCTCTAATTTTACGAGAGAACGTTCTACAAGCTTATTTAATGCTGTTTCTATTTACTAAGGGTAGTTTTATTATGTGTAATATAGATGACCCGGGTTCGAGCCTTGCCCAAGATATTCTTTTTTTTTTTTACTACATATCCATATATTTCAAATCATTACTGAAATATGTTATTTTACTAAAACAATTACCGAAATAAATTCGTGTTGTACACGGATAACACACTCTTACTCTACCTTGAGCCCTATTTTACTAAAACAATTACCGAAATAAATTCGTGTTGTACACGGATAACACACTCTTACTCTACCTTGAGCCCCAAATTGCTATAATTAAAAAAAACGTATAGCCGTGGGGTCTTTTAGCTCGGTTCTTTTTGTTCAGTCTCTTTTTTTTCCCGCGAGTGTTCGGCACCAAGTTTTAACTTCCTCTCTCCTTACGTAAGTCTATGATTTCAGTCGTTAGTTAATAAGCGGAAGACTATGTCAAATTTTACGTAACATCCTGAACTATATTCGAGCCACACGCGAGGTTTATCGTAATGGACGCGCTTTCATATCTCGTGATACTGAGAACGGCCGACTTTAAACAAATTAAAGTATGTATATGCGTGCTCCCAACGTGTGAATGACTTCCTGACTAACTTTCTCATTAAAGGCTCGAAACGAGTCGTAGTCCATGGAGTCTGACTCTTACTAAAAACATGAACCAAGTCCATGGAGTCAGTCTCTTACTAAAAATATGAACCAATGAGAACGAAGACATACAAATATACAGACAGACACTGGACTTCTTTGAAGCGTAAAGCGACGCACCTCTTATTTAATTTTTGTTGTTGTTTCCTGTACTGCCATGAGGGGTAAAATAAAATGATCGAGGAGTAATTTATCACGCTACCTAGCGGATACTTTTCATTACATTTTGAGGATAGATAAAGATGATTTTCAGCTCCTAGAAACTGGTAATTCAGCTCTTAAAGAAACATATATATGGAATCGTTAGCATAGCTGATGTGAACCATTACTGTTTACTTGGCACCAGTAATGCACCTTATCTGGTCTTATGATAGCCCCCCCCCCCCAGTGGTACAGCGGTACGTCTGCGGACTTACAACGCTAGAATCCGGGTTTCGATACCCGTGGTGGGCAGAGCACAGATAGCCCATTGTGTAGCTTTGTGTTTAATTATAAACAAAACCAACCTATGCAAGATAAGAGTCATTGTATTGGAACAATTTGTATGTATTATTAGCTTTATATATACTCAGACGTTGATACAAAATGGAAGATTATATGGGGTTAAGGGTCAGGTGTTGAAGGGTAACCCTTAAATCAGATAAGGGTATACGATATAGTATTCCTTCTTTTCCTTTACTCCTTCCAGTTGATGGTACGTGGGCAAATAGAATGACTACATGATGAAAAATACTACCTCAACTGATTACTAGAGTCACGTAATCCTTAACATTGCGTGCTTTCTCTTGAATTGGCCTCTACAAAGTAGCTATGGTAATTCAACCCTTCTAACAAAAGAATCTGTAAGTTCCGAAACTAATGGTGATTTCAAGGGCTTTACACAGTCCGGGGTGACGGCTCTGAGCTTATTCTTTTGTTTGTGGAATGTGTGAGAGTACAGATCTTCTCAAGAGCTCCACTTTCAATAAACCTCACATTGGCGCCCAAAATGAAAAAATGTCTGATAAATTCAATATACCTAACATTGGCGCACAAAATGAAAAAATGTCTGATAAATTCAATATACCTAACATTGGCGCCCAAAATGGAAAAAATATCTGATAAATTCAATATACCTAACATTGGCGCCCAAAATGAAAAAAATGTCTGATAAATTCAATATACCTAACATTGGTGCCCAAAATGGAAAAATGTCTGATAAATTCAATATACCTAACATTGGTGCCCAAAATGAAAAAAATGTCTGATAAATTCAATATACCTCACATTGGCGCCCAAAATGGAAAAAATGTCTGATAAATTCAATATACCTCACATTGGTGCCCAAAATGAAAATGTCTGATAAATTTTCAAAGAAATTTGACTTACGTTTTTAACACAGTGTAAAGCATGCCACTTTATATCATTTCAATACAGAAAATGTAAAAAAAATTATTATTCTTTCATAAAAAAAGTACCAAAGTATAAAATAATTGGGCCCAGCATGGCCAGGTGGTTAGGGCACTCGACTCGCAATCTGAGGGTCGCGGGTTCGAATCCCCGTCACACCAAACATGCTCGCCCTTTTAGCCGTTGGGGCGTTATAATGTGACGGTTAATCCCACTATTCGTTGGTAAAAGAGTAGCCCAAGAGTTGGCGGTGGGTGGTGATGACTAGCTGCCTTCCCTCTAGTCTTACACTGCTAAATTAGGGACGGCTAGCCCAGATAGCCCTCGTGTAGCTTTGCGCGAAATTCAAAACAAATAAACAATAAAATAATTAAATGAAGCTGATATAAATGTCACAGTTTCGCAGACCTATGACTGAAGAGCAGATTTCGCTGAATACACTACTTTATTGTATTTTGTATTCATGTCAAAACTACTAATTTCGAACAACTGACCAAGGGCAGTGAGTCAATACGTGATATCGTAGGGATTCGAACTCAACTCTGTCACAGGGTTAAGTCGCACCAACTGTTAAAGCCTCGGAAATCTTCTCCACTCTTTCTGTTTTCAAATAACGGCTGACGTTGCAGTGAAGCGTGACGTCGGACACAGACAGTGTCTACAACGTTTCAACGTCCTCAATACCCAGTTTCGTAAATAGACATGCATAAAAAACAAAAAACGCAAAGTCTCAAATAACATCACAATTAGTTAAGTCCCGCAAAAACCAGCGCTACAGTTATGAACGTAATTGACAACTAAAGATCAGTTAAATTGGATAGCTGCAGAATTACTGACAGAGGACGCGATGTGTGAATCAGAAAGATGAAAATATCGTCCCACTTTAGAAACCAACAGAGGCTTAGGAACCTGACTACTTAGCATTGTGTGGTTCCCACTGATCCACTGAAGGAACGGAACAAGGATCACGGTTTCTAGTTTTTCATCCCGTAAAAAATAATTAAAATCCAGAACTTCATTCCCACTGATCCACTGAGAGAACCGAACAAGGATCACAGTTTCTAGTCTTTCATCTCGTAAAAAATATTAAAATCCAGAACTTCATTCCCTCTGATCCACCTCTCACACGTCTTGTTAGTAAGGCTCGGATATTGTTAGATAAAGAAGGAAAAGTCTGGTATCTAGAACTCACACGTCTTGTTGATAAGATTTGAAGACTATTAGCTATGAAAGGAAAGTTTGGTATCTAAAATAATACATCTAGCTGTTAATACTTTTAAACTATTATAGAGGAAAACCCTGATATGTGAACTCATATCACCAGTTGATGAGGCTTAAAGACTAGTAGATGCATTTTGTCATACAAAGACCAAAGGTAAAAGACCGAATTCAAAAGTTCAAGCGACATATATGAATTAAATAATTTTATTTCGTATTATCGACTTTTGTTCTTGTGGCTTATAAGAATTTCTGGATTTTCATTATTTTCTACGGGATGAAAAACTAGAAACTGTGATCCTTGTTCCGTTCTTTCAATGGATCAGTGGGAAGGAAATTCTGGATTTTAATTGTTTTCGACTGGATGAAAAACTAGAAACTGTGATCCTTGTTCCGTTCTTTATTCGAGTCTTACTAACAAGACGTGTGAGTCCAGATATCAGACTTTCCTTTTTATCTAACAATATTCGAGTCTTACTAACAAGACGTGTGAGTTCAGATATCAGACTTTCTTTCTTTATCTAACAATATCCGAGCCTTACTAACAAGACGTGTGAGTCCAGATACCAGACTTTCCTTTTTATCTAACAATATTCGAGTCTTACTAACAAGACGTGTGAGTCCAGATACCAGACTTTCCTTCTTTATCTAACAATATTCG